CTCCGACTCTGGCCGCTATGAGCTTACTGTGCGCCTGGAAGAGCTGGAGGCCAAGGCAACCATTGACATCCTGGTGATTGGTATGGGGCCAGGGGAACAGGGCTGCCTCACGGGAGAGCCAGAGCCTCCGACCTCGCACCCCAAAGCTGATGGCTGATGGCAGCAGGCCAAGGGAGTGTGGCGGGAGCCAAATCTTGGGTGTGGGGGCTCTGTGGCTGGCCTGGCCCTCACGCTCACTTCCCCTTGCACCCTGGGCCTGCAGAGAAACCTGGACCCCCCAGCAGTATCCGGCTCCTGGACGTCTGGGGCTGCAATGCTGCTCTTCAGTGGACACCACCCCAGGACACAGGCAACACAGAGCTCCTGGGCTACACGGTGCAGAAGGCGGACAAAAAGACAGGGGTGAGTCTGGCTGGGACACAGCAGGGTCGGGGTAGGAAGCGGTCAAGGTGGCGGGGAAGGCCCATCCCACAGAGTCTAGGGACCGAGTTCTGGTCTGCCCACTGCTAGCCTGACAACCTAGGAGGCCCTTAGCAAGACTCTTCCTCTCTGGATCTCAGATGCCTCCTAAAGACTGCGAGGAGGGCTGGCCTGGGCCGTCTGCAGCCTTTCAAGCTCTGGAGCCTGCTTCCCAAATTTTAATGTGGGCATGAGTCACCAGGGGAGCTTGCTAAGAGGCAGAGTCTGACTCAGCAGGTCCAGAGTGGGGGCTGAGAGCCTGCATTTCGAAGAAGTTTCCAGGTGATGCTGAAATTGCACACCTGTGGGCCATGCTTTGCCATGAAGGCTCTAGGAGTCTCTGAGGCTCCTACAGAGGTCACCTGAGTGACCCAAGGGCCCTTTCTCCCAGTTCAATGTCCCTGAAGCCCAAAGCTGGATAGTTCAGCATCCCAGGGTTGGGGGCATGGAATGAGTTCCCCTGAAGAGAGGGCTTCAGGGTAAGCAGGGAGGGCGAGAACAGGGGTGAGAAACGAGAGTGACACCCGGGGACCCGCAGCAATGGTTCACAGTGCTGGAGCGCTACCACCCGACCACCTGCACCGTCTCCGACCTCATCATCGGCAACTCATACTCCTTCCGGGTCTTCTCAGAGAACCTGTGTGGGCTCAGCGCCTCAGCCACCGTCACCAAGGAGCTCGCCCACATCCAGAAGGCAGGTGGGTTTGGGCCAGGTCTGGCTGTGCTGATTCTCTCCCTGTCCCTGCCTCTTCCTCAGCGTCTTCTCCACGTCCCTCTCTCTGGGCTTCTCCTGGGCGTCTGCCCCTGGAACACCCGCTGTCCCCTGACTCCACAGCTATGCATGCACACACATGAAGTGGCTGCAACGCAGTGAATGTGGTTGATTGATTTTAACAAACACATCAGAGCAAATCCACACAAATGAAAGATGCTCCTTGGGAGGCCGTGTACTTATTGCAAAGATGCTTGTGGCTGCCAGCACCACAGCAGCCGTCGAGTCTCAGGCAGTGAGTGTCCCAAGGGAATCTAGAGGGTGACCTGTGCATGGATGAGTAGTGTGCTAAAACGGGTGAGTTTGCTAAAACAGGCCTTCCAACCCCCACACACGCCACATAGATGGACAAGACAGATAAGAGTATTTACCGTCTCCACACAGGCACTGACCCTCTTGCGTCAAATCCTAAACCCCAGGCCCTTTTCCCTGTCCCCCGTCTGCCCCGAGCCCCTCCGTGACCCACCGTCTGTGTGGGTTCCAGAAGGCAAACTTTATTTAACACCAGCCTGAGCTGCACAGAATTAGGAAGAAATGTTTGTTTAAAAAAGGAAAGCCGGTCACGTCTCCAAAGACAAACACAAAGGAAACATGGTGACTGAGTTTCGAGCCTCCACCTTCTGCCAAGACGGTCTCATCCCTCTGGTTTTTCCTCCTTCTCTCCTCTGCTCCCCACCCTGACCCACCCAGCCTCAATCTCAGCCTTCTCTGCCTCTTTGGTATTGTCCAAGTTGTTGTAAATAAGCCATGACTTGCTATAGATCTAGGATCACATTCAGTCCTAACAGGTCTCCTTCACTCCTGGAAGCTCAGACTCACCCAACTTTCTCCCCTGAACCCAGATATTGCTGCCAAACCAAAAGGGTTTATTGAGCGAGACTTCTCAGAAGCCCCGTCATTCACCCAGCCCCTGGCTGACCACACCTCCACCCCTGGCTACAGCACCCAGCTGTTCTGCAGTGTCCGAGCTTCACCCAAGGTGAGGGACCAGGCCCTGCGGTGCCCTGGGCTGGTGGCAGCAGGTGGGGACAGCAGGGCTGAGGAATCCTCCGGGCATCCACACCTAAGCCTGGGGATGGCCTGCAAGAGCCCCGCCCCAGTCCACACCTCCCCAGCTCTCTTCTGACCATGCCTCCCAGCCCAAGATCATCTGGATGAAAAACAAGATGGAGATCCAGGGCAACCCCAAATACCGCGCTGTCTCTGAGCAAGGTGTCTGCACCCTGGAGATCCGGAAACCCAGCCCCTTTGATTCTGGGGTCTACACATGCAAGGCCATCAATGTGCTGGGGGAGGCATCTGTGGACTGCCGGCTAGAGGTCAAAGGTGAGAGTTTGAAGATGGGAGAACAAGAGTCAGCACCTCTCTGGAGCTGGACTAGAGGCAGCAGAGAGCTTAAAATCAAGGCAGAAGAGAAGGGGTAGTAAGATCGGGGTCGGGCTATGCCGATTACTTTCCAAGCAGGAGGGTGGGCAGGTGTAGGGGAGGGTGGGCAGGGGTAGGGGAAGGTGGGCAGGTGTAGGGGAGGGTGTGTAACTGTGAACCTTGTCAGTTCCCAGCCACTTCCCCCAAGCTCTAACTGCAGCATCTCTTCCAGCCTCAGCCACGCACTGAAGAGCCACGGGAGGAGGCTGTGATGAGGAGCCAGGTAAATGGCCAGACCCACCCCCTCTGCTACCTCTGCAGGCGGCACGGAACCAGAGAGGAAGCCGGGAACAGGGGCTGGGGGTCAGAAGGGAAGGTGGTGGTCAGCTCTGGGGACAAACTTGTGGACACAGGCAACTAGCACGCATCTCCAGAGACTCGCAGTGACGTTGCAGGGCCAGGAGATGCCGGTGTGGCCCGAAGGGGGTGACTCCGTGGGCCGCCACATGATCAGAGTCTACTCCCAGCTCTCAGTGACCTTCCGCAAGGGTGTTCTCTTTGGACACATTTCCTCATCAGAAAAGTGGGGATAACAACCTTTCCCTGCCTTCCCTCCACTGGTGGTTCTGAGGCTCTGCATAAGTACGGAAGTATCTAGAACTGCAGTGGGCAAAGCTCAGACCTGGGCCTGAGAAGGGAGGCCTGGTGAGGAAGAGGGTGCTGCTCCCCTCCCCTCTCTGCACCTCTCTGGCCTGCAGCCAAGCTCTGCTCACACCAGGGCCTCAGGGAGCATGTCCTCCCCCAGGTCCCCCAGGCCACCATCAAACTCCAGAGACACTCAAGACCCCCGCTTCCGTAGTGACGGCTGAAGGAACTGGCCCTGGTACCTGCTGGCCCCTCTATACCACTCCAGAAGTCAGGAGTGGGCCTGGTAGACCCCGGGCCAGGCTACCTGGGCTCAAGGGGTCCTGGAGGGTGCAGAGATGGGAGTGCTCCACGGAGTGGCACTGGGTGGGAAGCACTCGAATAAAGATGTGTGGTGTCACAATGCGGGACCTCTGTGCCAGTGAGCGACATCATCTACGGGGAGGCGCCGCGTCACCAGGAGGGGGGTGTCTTAACCTGTCACCATGAGGGGGGTCTCCAAATATGTCACCATGAGGAAGACGCCAGCAGGAGGGAGAGGTCTCAGGATGTCATGGGTCTGTGGGTGGGGGGGGTTCTTGACATGTGAATTTTCCAGATCTCGCTTCCTGATCAGGGTTTGCTACCCCAAGTGCGTAACTATGGAAACAGACACACCCTCTCTGGAACCTCCTTGCTGGAACGCCTCCACATGCCCCCTGTCGCAGCTCCTCCCGGCCCCCGCCGTTGCTTCCCCTCTGCTGAGGATGTCTTGTTGCTCTCAACAGTGGTGGGGGTGGGTGCCCAGCAATGTGCACTCCACAGGATTCACAGTTCTTTTATTAGTCATGTGGGCTTCCCTTGGGAGCCGGGGCACACCCCATTTCCAACAGAGGGAAGAGCCTGGAAGCAAGGCCTGGGGTTGACACTCATGTTCAGAATCCGTCAACTCGACGGCCACCTCCCCTCCCCCGCCTTGTCCTTCTACACAGGGACTCCAGGCTTGGCAGGACATGGGTTGGTCCTTCCCTCGATCCCTAAAGTCCTAGACCACCCACACCTGCAACAGAGCTTCTGAAGCCCCTGAAAATGCAGCTAAATACTAGGGGTATTGACGGATTTGCATGACAGCAAGACCGTCCCCACACTCTCAGGAGGGTGGTCTCCTCTGCCTGCTGCAGCTGGCTATACACCCCCAGGAGGGCCACAGTCCACCCCGTCCCCGGGCAGGCAGGATGCTCCCAAGAGTTGGCATGTCTAGGGTTCTCCTCTCCATCAGGCCCAGAAGCAGCAGAGACGGTGTCACCTAGGAGAGTCCAGGCCTGGCATCGGGTGGCCAGTGGTACTGGTGGCCCAGATCACAGGTAATTACACTCTAGGCCCCTCCCTGGAAAGCTCAGGGCAAGAAGGAAGGCTCAGAGCTGCCACCTCGTGGCTGTTTGAGGCCAGCACCTACCGCACGAAGCTCTCTCCCCAGGGCGCGGAGCCTGCACGCTAGAAAATACCAGAAATGATTTCTGAATCGCTTGAACCCTGGAGGCAGAGGTTGCAGTGAGCCGAGATCGAGCCATTGCACTCCAGCCTGGGCAACAAGAGCAAAACTCCATCTCAAAAAAACCAAAAAAAAGAAAGAAAGAAATGATTTCTGAACCTACCCTTTCTGCCTCTCCCACACACAATCCTGGGTAGACCCAGGGCAAGGAGAGCAGGCACCCTAGCACCTGGTATGGCCTGGGGCCCAGAGCCCTCAGACGTGGGAATGGAAGCTCCTTGATTTCTGTCCCTTAGCTGCTTCTGGCTACCCTCTCCTACAGAACAGGAGAGACAGCCAGGCCAGTGCATCCCCAACCTCTCTCCTCCCATCTGTCTCAGAGGGGATGCTCTCCTCTCCTTAAGCTGGGCCTGGGGCTGCATCACTAACACCAAAGACAAGCAGACCCCCTGCCTCACTGCAGAAGCCCAAGCACTTTCTCCCAGCCCAGGTGGCTCCTCTGCAGTCTCAGCCTCCCCAAGACCTGCCCAGGCCTGAAGCGCTGGACTGCTCGTGGGATGGTAAGGCAGGTGGGCGCTCTGAACACTCTCACCTCTAGACACCCGGTCCCTTCACAGGATCCTTGCCCTCCCAAGCCTTCTGCAGGGCCCAGAGGTGTAGGGTAGTTAACTCCTAGTGGAGGGATCATGCTCTCTGGGTATCTCTTCAGAGCCTCCCCCATGCCCCCGACCCACAGCCCAGCTGGGGCAGGCTCAGGGAGACCCCTGGGACAGCGGGCAGGGGAGGACTGGACTGAGACCCCGCTGGATGTGGGCTGGTGAGAGCAGAAGGCGGGGTCTAGTCATCAGGCCTTTCTTCTGGGAGATCCTCGTCAATGGGGGGTGCAGGCTGGCAGCGGAAATGGTCATTCCAAATCTTAAGGAAGGTGACCCGGAACTTCTGGATTCGGAAGGCATAGACAATGGGGTTCATGGCCGAGTTGCCGTGCGTGAGGAAGATGGCAATGTAGGTGAGGATGCTGGGCTTGTGGCAGGACGGGCAGAAGAGGGTGATGCAGTTGAGGATGTGCAAAGGCAGCCAGCTGAGGGCAAAGAGGAAGAGGATGAGGGCCAGCGACTTGGCGATCTTCAGCTCCTTCCCATAGTACTTCTGCGGGTCGCCGGAGGAGGCCGACACCTTCTTGTTGAGCTGCTTTCGGATCAGGTAGAAGACCTCCAGGTAGATGAGGACCATGAGGAGCAACGGGGGCAGCACCCACACGAAGAAGTTGAAGTAGACCATGTACTCCATGCTGATGACCTTCTCGAACTCACACTTGATCACGGGCTCCCCCACACTGCCGTTGGCCGCCCAGGCCCGCTCCACTGCACTCAGATTGTTCCAGCCAAACATAGGGGTCAGCCCCACCACGAAAGAGAGGATCCAGCAGCCGGCGATGGCCACCGCTGCCCTCCGGGGGGTCACCACCATCTTGTACCTGGGAGAGAGGAGGGCAGAGTGTCAGGATCTGCCTCCCAGCTGCCTCGAAGGGCCCCTCCGAGGCACACCTGGCCTCCAGGGGCCTCTAAGAGGAGCCCCCTCCCCATCCAGGGCCCGGTGAGCGGGGAGGTGTGTGTCTTTTGCTCGAAGGTTGAGTCTTCAGGATCTAAGATTTAGTGCTTGCCATGCATTGGCTCATTCTCCTGCGAAGAGAGGAAATCCTGATTAATGACAAAAGTAGTGATAGAAAATCACAAAGGACCTCCTTTAGAAATGTCGAGGAAGTGACCACAGTAAAAATTGCTCCCATGCACTCAGCACGCCCTCCCTGGTTATCTCGCCATTGCTTCATGACGGCCTGCATCGCATAGGAAGGCACCGGCAGAATGAGGACCGCCCAACTGACAGGTGAGGAAACTGAGGTTCAAAGTAGTCACAGGATCTGCCCAAGGCCACATGGAAGGTGGCAGTGCTGTCCCTTGCTTCCTAAAACACATCTAAACACTGACCAAAACAGCCAGCTAATTAACAAACCATCTATCCCTTCTCTTGGGCCAGCAAACACAACTGTCATTTCAAAAAATCTTTCACACAACTCCCCTTCTTTGGGCCTTGCCCATACTCCCCGGCCAGTGCCTCACCTCCCGCCTCCATATCAACTTCTTGTTTCCCCTCCTGATCACCGTGTAGCACTTACCTCCAAAGGGCTTGATCTCAAGAATCAGCTCTGCATTCCCAAGCTAACTGAGAATGATGCTCAGGAAAGGAACTGACATTCACTGAGCATCTACTACATGCTAGATACTTTCACTCATTCACTCATGCATTTACCCATGCATACATGGATGCATTCATTCAGCACCAACACCTAAGAGAAGCAGACTCCCCTGCCTCATTTGTCGAGTGCTTTCTGTGCTAGGCATTGCTCTCTGTGCTAAGATAAAAGATCCCCGCTTTTACATATCTCACATTTTGGGTGAAGAGACACATAACACAAAAGCAAGAAAATAAACAAGACAACTACAGATCATTTTATGTCCTTTAAAGGAAATAGGCTGCATCAAGAGACAGAGCTTTCTAACTTTTTTCACGTCACAAAGAAGATGGAAACATCTGGATGACAAGGCTGCTCATGAGCCACAAGGGTTGGGTGTTTTCATATCTCAGGGGTTCCTACTTCCCTTTAAACCAATCTAGCCAGCAGCCGTGGCGGCTTCTGCCTACACACTGGCCTTGGAGACAGTGCCAAGGGTTGGGTCTCACCCAGCTCTGTGCTGAGGAGCCGGCTGAACAGCAGCAGCTTGCCCAGTTGTTATTTTCCAATGCGGCTTCTGAAATTGATGGAGTGCCCGCTCGAGCACATAAACAGCTCCTGAGACCCAGAAGTATGACGGGAGAGGCTGCCGACTGCTTCCTTCTGCCCCAGGACGCAGAATCTGCAGCCTTCTCCTGAATGATATGATGCTTAAAGTCTCTCTCGCCCCGGACAATGCTTCTCCTAGACCCTTTACCATCTATCAAAGCTCACCTGCTCTGTGAAGGCTATGGCGGTAGGAAGGGGGACAGTTTGCAGAGTGGGAGGAACCAGATGCCCCCTCTCCACCCCACCTAGAAGATAAGGACTAGAAGAGACGTTTGGAATCTCATTTTCCATCCCATCATTGTCCCAGTGAAGAAATTGAGTAGATGACTCCAACACCTTTAGAGCAGTTCCCTTCCCCAACTCTGTGATCACAGGATCCTTGTGCCCCAAGCCACCACCAAAGGGCCTTGAGAGGTGACGAGGTCACTTATGCCTCTGAAGTTTTCTTAGATACAATCCTCACTCTCTTGCTGTAATTGAAGCCCATTCCCTCCTCTGTATCCTCAGCAGAATGGCCAGGCCTGGTACAGACACTGGGAGTCAGAAGACCCAAATCTGGGCAGCCAGTCTGCAACTTGCTAGCTCAGTTTCTCCTCTGTAAAGGAGAGCTACTTCAGAGGGAGAGGATCAAGTGAAATACTATGTGTGAAAGTACTCTGTAAACACCCGACCAGTATTCCTTTGCCTGAGCCCTTCTTACCCCTCCAAGCTCCTAGACAAATGCCCATCTGGAAAACTCCAGTATCTCTAGATGCTCAGCAAACACAGCCGAAAGGCTATTTAAACATCTCACTCATGTCTTGTTCCTGACCATCTCAAAGTGTTCCCCATGTGTCCTCTCAGATACGGTGGGAAAAGTTCTGGGCGTGAGTACACGGTGAAAGACCAAAGTAACGTCAGTCATTCTGAAGGCTAAGGGATGCTGTCTCAGCAGTCACACAGTGGAGAGTGGGGCCAGGTCCCCGGGTGAACCTCAGCAAGGAAAGAGAGCTGCCGCTGCAGAGAGAAGGACGGGGCCAGGTGTCCTGCCTACGCCCACAGCCCATCACATCTGCCATTTATACCACATTGATCATTTACAAATGCCTTTCTCAGTCCTGTCTCAGGTAATCCCCATAACCGCTGCTGTGGTGAGCACAGCAGATGAGGGAATCCCCATTTCACAGATTAGAAGCTCCACTGGCCTGGGCCTCCTGACTCCAAGCCCAGCTCTCCTTCAGGGTACCAGGCTGACTGTGGGTTGTTGAGATGCAGATGATTGGCACGTTGAAAACATCCCCTGCCTAAGAGATTTAAAATGGGAACTTCTAGGCCCTGCCCAAGGAGGGCACCACCCAGAGTCAGTGGGGAGGGCCAGGTGACCTCCGGTGCTGCCGTCCAGCCTATAGATTAGGAGATCCAGCCTGGGACCCATATCTGGGCAGTGATGATCTGTGGAGAGAGGAGAGGTAGGAGGAGAGAAGGAGGAGGTGACTTAGCTAGAGAGGTGCCTCCCTCCCCTCTTCTTTCCTCACTCCTCACCCTGCTGACCGCCTGGAACCCCCAGGGTTAAAGCTTTCCTGGGGCTCCTCCAGGACCCAGTCCCAATAGACCCTGCAGCTTAGGGTATCAGTTCTCATCTGTTTTTCTTGCTATTTTCTCCCTGGTGGGAAAGGGCTGGACCCAAGACCTTGGCTGAGGTGGGGCAGGCTCTCACAGGAAGGGCTACCTCCCAGGGCCAGGGGAGAAACTCACCTCTCTTTACATGTGGGAAAGGAGGTGGAAGCTGCGAGTCCTGGGATGTGCATGGGGTGGGGGGGGTGTGGAAGGTGCCTCTGACTCTTGGGAATGCCCCTCCCAAGTCCACAGTATCCCCGAGGGCTGTGTGGGAGCTAAGCAGGGAGGTGCTGCTCTCAGGAGTGTGCAGCTCAGGCAGATGCTAACGGGGGAGCAACAGAACGGAGACAGGAAAATGGGGCCCTGTCCACAGGCCACCAGGACAGACAGTGTCTTAAAGACAGCCCTGAGGAAACCAGGGAGAGCCCCACCACCTCCAGAATCTCCCTCAAAGTGCATAAAATCCCACAAGGAATGAGATGTTCCTTTGGGTTAAGAGTTGCCTTCTCTGTGTGCTATTTATTTATTTAATTGAGACAGGGGTCCCCCTACGTTGCCCAGGCTGGTCTCAAACACCTGCGCTCAAGCAATTCTCCCACCTTGACCCCCTAAAGTTCTGAATTGCAGATATGAGCCACCACGCCCACCTGTGTGTTGTTTTTAAAGCTGAGATAACATGAACTGTGTTGTATGAATTCGTTTATTAGTCGGAACTTCTCATGGATGATGGTAACATGAAAAGACTGAGTCCCCGGAGCAATGGGCTACAGAGACCTTGGGAGGGAAAGGGATGGCTTGAGGAGGGAAACAGAACGGGGTTCCCGCTGAGCCTCTCAGTGTTGTCAAGATCTGGTGGCTGAACAGAAAAGGATTTCATATCATAGCTGCAGCAAGACTGTCAATGTGGTTTACAGGTAGAAATGAGGAAACAAAGTCTTCAAATCCTGCGTCCAAGTAGGGCAGGGCAGAGAAAGCCATTGGTTCTTCCCAGGACACCCTGGCAGGGCTGCCATATGAGGGGTGGGAGATTCTGGAGGCTAAGTGAGGCAGGAGCTCAAAAATAATAGTGAACTGATCAATAATAACAACGAAAATGCTGGGAAGTGCTGACATGTGTTTGTATGTGCTGGTCACTGGCTATTTATTTATTTAAGAGGCAGAGTCTCACTCTGTCTCCGAGGTTGGAGTGCAGTGGTGCAATCACAGCTCACTGTAATCTCAAACTCCTAGGCTCAAGGGATCTTTCCACCTCAGCATCCTGAGTAGCTGGGACAAGCGTGTGCCACCACGCCCAGCTATTTTTAAACGTTTTTGTAGAGATGGGGGTCTCACTATGTTGCCCAGGCTGATCGCAGACTCCAGGGCTTGTGATCCTCCTGCCTTGGCCTTCCAAAGTGCTGTGATTACAGGCATGCGTCACTGTGCCTAGCCCTGGGCACTGACTTTGCAGACATGGTTTTATTGGTACTCCAGCACAACCTTAGCAGTTAGATATCACAGGCTGAGCATCCCTAATGTGAAAATCCCAAATCCCAAATGCTCCAAAATTCAACACTATCTGAATGCCAACAAGACGCTCAAAGAAAATGTTCTTTGAGCATTTCAGATTTCCAGCTTAGGAATGCTCAACCAGTGAGTATAAGGCAAATATTCCAAAATCTTTAAAAATCCAAAATTGGAAACACTTCTGGTCCTACACATTTTGGATACGGGATACTCAACCTGTATCATTATTTTCATTTCCTAATTGCAGTAACTGAGACTTGCAGAGATTAGAAAACATGTCCAAGGCCACTCTGCCAGGAAAAAGCAGGAAAAGAATTTCTAAGACTCCAGTATGTCCAAGTGCAAAGCCCATGTTGGATCCAGCTCTGCCACTCTGGGAGATGGAGGACACATGGGGATTGGAGGGAGGAAGGTTGGAGCAGAAGAAGGAAGCCAGGGCCAGGACCTGGAAGGCAAGCCTCTCCTGCTCCAGGCAAATCTCCCTGGACTAAGTAGTCGTGAGGACGCCATCATACCTTGCCCGGAAGCCTCACTCCTCCCACAAAGTCTGACCTCTTTCTGAGCCATCAGATTGACCTATTCACATGCATGCCCTGCCTAGGTGTTTAGTGGGTGTCTTGTTCCTGCAGGGGGCGACCAGGCAGTTGAGACTTACCCTTTCCTTTATTAAAGGGGTATTCATTGAGCACCTATCAGGTGCCCGGTTCTAGGTGTTAGGGTTCAGGAATATAGATGAGA